TATTCTATTTTCCATCGTCAGTATATACGATGCCCCCTATGGACCCTGGAGCCTCTCTAACGAGGCCTTGCAGGAACTACCCGAGGTGGTTTTAATGGGAATTGCTCACCTAGACTCGGGAGAGCAGAGATTCTGGTGCGTATACCACAGCTACTTTCGTAGGGGATACATTAATTTCCACTTCAAAAATAAAAAAGTTTAATATACATTTGCGCTTATATCGCAACCTAAAGACAACCATGCCACTTAAAATAACACTAATAATTAATCAATCGATCAATTAGTGTAACATTCACTAGATTGATAAATATTAGATATCTATCGATAAGTTGCAGCACTAACTCATTACATAAGTTTTTAAGTGAACATTGTAATTGCATAGAAAGTGAACTCTCAGATACGTATTATGCTTCCGAACTTTGCGTTAATCTGTGGTGAAGTACAGATTATACTGTAATAGATCATTGAATCGTCTGCACTCTATATCCCACAGATAGCTGTAGACATTCTGTCTTATAGGACTGTGACCCAAGAAAACGAATAATTAACTTTAAATTTCCGCCAACGGCTTTCTAGGTAGTTATATCATTTCACGTGTTTGGAATGCCATTGTATGTTTTTTGGTGTACAACGTGACAGCGAGAACAATGGGCTCGTGTGTAGTGGTATCGGTTTCAACGCTACTTTATCAAATTTCCCTACAAATAGTTAATTTCGCCGACCTCCAGTTATATATACGCTCGTCACGGTACTGACAATGGCCTCCAATTTACTATCAAAATATATTTAAATGTAAACAAGCAAGTCAAATAAACCGTTATACGCTATTCATACGAAAATAAAATGACACTAAAGTTGGAAGCGGAGCTAAATTTTTAACGGAACACAGGGTAAAGGAGCCACCGTTTCACTTAGAAAATACACCGCTAACCGCCGCCCATGGGCACCTCCAACGCCGGGGATGCCTTCTATAATTTATTTATTTATTAGTTATTTAATTTTTATTTTTTAACACTTGGTTGCATTGACATAATAAAAATTGAACATAATTAAGTGAAAAGGAGGGCAACTGGCGGCCTTATTGCTTTCGAGCGATCTCTTCTATGAAAAAAAAAGTATTAAATTAGATAAGGTGAGCAAGTAATGCAAGAATACATAACGCATATAGTTATTAAGACAAAACTAAACAGGAACAAAAAAAAACTAAACAAATATAAAAAAAAATTATTGAATGTTATTTTATAATAAACCAACTTTATACTGAGTGCGTTTAGGATATTGTGCCGCATTAGCACAAATATTGTTTTGCTCTAGTTTTAATAAGCCACAATACGATATTTTCCTTATAAACAATATTATATGCAAACATCGTATTATCCAGTTAAAACCATAACTTGTGACGTATCGCAAATTCATTATCAAGCTCGATAGCAAAAAATAGATTACCTATCGTATTTCAAGAACGCTACTTGTACGATGAATAATTATAATACATGAATTTTTTCGTGCTCCAAGAAATATCTATAAAAAGTAATACTTTTTATAGCAGGTTTTGTATATGGAATTTGAATCGAACCTATTCCTTTTGCAATGGGCTGTGTGACTATAGGTTAAAATTTTTGGCGAATACTACAGAATTAGAAGTAATAACATTTATTTATAATGTACGGTGATTCATCGGTGATCATAATTACAGTTAGGTGTGAAGGCTAACGGACTGCTGACCTACAGCCTCACTCCACATCAGTCAGTAGTCTATAATTATTTTAAAATGACCTGTGACCCCAAAGTTAGAAATGAATCCTGTTTCAACTGTTGTTCTACGGTTAAAGGTATTGAACTGACTGGTAATGCTAAATTATAATAGTAACAATTTTATTCTCGAGTTGTAGTTTATTTAATATTGAAATTGGCCATTTTTAGAAACAATGGAACATCAGCCTATCATTGCATTGGCGTTTTCAAATAAATTCGAATTTGAGAGTGGAAAAATGCAAATCTGAGTGTGCGTTTTTCATACCAATATCATGTGTCCGTATAACAGGTAGACTAAAATTCAAAGCTATTTTTTGGTTAGTGTACTGAAACAGTAATTAAGGGCTCAAACAAGTTCATTCGTTTCCTAATTTCCTAAGACAGTCAAAACTGTAGTGGATTGTAAATTAATAAAACAATTGCGGTCCTAATTTCCTTGTATAATTCCTTATTGAAACACTCGTCCCGATATGTGGTTTCATGACTTATTATGTTCAGCTATATAGGTATATAAATTGGCAATTGAACTGGAAGATTCACAAAGGAATTGTAAACAATCTTTTATATAATTTTTAGTGACCGACCCAGTTAGTAATAAATCGGAGAACGATCTACTTTGCAGTCGAAAAGTGGCGGAAAGAACACAAAATATATTCGTTTCTTAAAGACAGAGTGATTTTCCTTCTTTTGTATTTGCTTAGTTCCTAGTTACAATTTTATAGCTGCTGTGTTTTTGACACGTTTCCAATTAATTAGTGAACGTATTTATTATTTTATGTACGGAAGTAACTGCGATTTGTGCAGCCTTGAAACGGCATTGCACTATCACTGCCTTATCGCGCCGCGTCGTCAGAGCCAATCCGTTATTTACTAAGAAATTAATGTAAAACTAGCCGATGTCAGCCCGATGCTATAGAATAAAATAAAATAAAATATGTTTATTATGGAACATAAGATACAGGTATCACTTATTCCACGTCATTAAATTTGAATCTGTCGGCATCCCTACTCATCGACAAAGAAGACAGAGGGTGTAGGCCGAGAGAAAAAGCCGACGTAAAAAACTCTCGGTACTCTTTTAAAATAGCAAATTATCAAACAACACTTATAAAACAAATATCGCAAATTAATTAGAAGTAGCCTGTCTAGCACTATTCCCAGGCCCTTTTATCAACTAGATAATCGTTAACTTTATAGTAAGCCTTTTTACACAGCTTTTCTTTAATACATTTCTTAAATTTATTAAAAGGCAGAGATAAAAGAGCCTCTGGGATTTTATTAAAGATGAGTATCCCTTTTCCCAAAAAAGAATTGCTAACTTTAGTCTAGTACGAGGAAATTGCAGCCTGCGTTTGTTCCGAGTATTAACATTGTGCGTATGTTCTATTCTAGTAAACTTATCACAATTTTTGTAATACATACATAATATTTTCATAAATATATTGCGAGGGAAATGTAAGTATATTAATTTCCTTAAAATGAATGCAAAACAGGAAACAAATGTTAAAATTTATAATATGCAAAACACAATATTCTAAGTCCTAACAAATTACTGTTATGAGAATCAAACTCTCAGATTCTAAATCGAGTTTCAGCGCTAAGTATGACTTCCGTATGTTCACTTTATCGCAATGTAATCTTGTTTTGAAGTGTTGACAAAAGTAGTAAATTGGGAAACAATTGAGGCAAATCATTTTTTTTCTCTATATTACAATGGAGCTGTCACCCAAACGAACTTGCTCACCAACTCACCATTAGACAGTACGTGAGTCGACTAAAACGTCACCATATTCTAGAGCTAGAAGACCGGCACCACAGAAAAAATTCGCTCATAGCCTTAGGGCTGATTGCAAATACTCGCAGAAAAAAAATTACAATGAGACATAACTCCTGACCTAACCATGAAACTATTGACACAAATGGCTTAGGGTAAGATCCAGAGACGAGACTCAGAGCGAAGTATAACTTCCGTATGTTTAAAATGTATTAGTTTTGATATTCGGGAGTCATACTAACCCTAAGCCAATTATATCAATAGTTTCAGGGTTAGGATTATGTCTCATTGTAAATAGAAAATAACGATTTGCCTCAACTATTTCCTAATTTACCTACTACTTTCGTCAACACTTCAAAAGCAGATTATATTGCGATAAGGTAATCCGTAATCATAATACTTTTATTCTTCTTAGCAAATAAGTTTTGTCTTATCAAATAGATTAGGAAATAAAATAGAAAAAGTGAATCAACGGCATTTATCAAGGATAAGGTTTTCGAAACGTTTACAGTTATACTAATATTGACTATAGCGTGAATTGTCTCAGTATTACCTGAAGCAAATACTATTATATCAATAGTTAATTATAATGTCTCGCGGGACAAACGGCAATATAATTATTATGTATGACAACAATAGCTAAAGTCTGGTGTCGTAGTTTAGGCAATAATTCTGCGACCACTATATTTTCGGTAGAAGTGTACCTGTATTGCATAAATGCGATTTTACATTCAAAGATCCAAGAAATTTTAAAACCCATTAACGAAACAAAGGTATAGAAACGCGTCCTTCATATATATTTATACAAAAACGTCTTTATGCTTAAAAAACTTCACAAAAGCGCAATAAAACACGTTTAGCAGTGCCCGCTGCCACCTGTCAAGCATTTAGGAATTTGTATATGGGCCCCTGATTTACTTTTAACAACAAATATTATCAATTAAAATCAACTTTTTAACTATAAACATACAGTAAAGGAAAATCCAAAAGTAAATCAATAATTAGGTATTAAAGCATGCGGTCGGTTTGGAAGTTCACAGATTCCAAGTGGGACGAGACGAATAATTAGCGTCTCGGTTCATCGAGCCAATAAATAATTTGCTTAAAATTAGAAAGCTCCGGCCGGCTCATCGGTTGTTTATGCTAATAACCTGATAAAGTCAATCGGATCGCGTAAACCTCATCAAAGTACAAGCCAATTTCAGTTGCGAAGGTACTTCATGCCAATATATTAAGTAATGCTAACACTCCAAACACTTTCGCTGTCGCGCGGAAATCGAGAGTTCGATCGTTTATAGTGCCGTTTGCCATACCACGTCCCACATTCGTACCACGTCCCATCACTTTCTCCGGTACAATACATATTTAGGCTCTTATTCGGACGTTCATAGAAATCCGAAAGTGACGATCAAATCCGCCCAATTAGGTAGTCAAGAATTAATGTTTCGGTGACGCGTAATTGTTAGTAGCGTTAAGTGGTCGATTCGTTTGAACAAGTTCTTTGGCGGGATGATGTCTTCTTGTGTCTAATACTTCGGAATTTATCATGTCTATCATTTTTACACACTAACTGCAAATTTTCATATAGCGTGATATACATAGAGGTGTCTTTATTTGGATTTGCACATTAAGTGGCCAAGTGATCAAAAAGATGAATTAAAACTTCACTACTTAGCATAAGCTATCTCGACATATACATACTTTTGCGGTTCATATTATTTTCTTATACATATATATAAAAAAATACCCAGTAATAGGATATTTCAGTGTATTTATTATATTTAGTAAAATATAGTTAAGAAATAAAAGAAATTGCATTAATTCGGCCTCAAAACTTAAAACTGACCTAAAAGACAATATACCACAACGCTCAACATCATTAAGTTTGCTACGTCACGATATTAATGTATGAACAATTAATTTAATTAATTAAATTTAGACCGCGATTTCGCTTACAAGGCATTTTGTGGTATTTTTCTTCTAAATCTCTAAAACCCAATTCTAGTTGCTTTTATTATTTCTATTAATAAATTAATATCAAACTCACCTTAAAGCGATTCCTCTTGGCAGCTCGTAGCACGATGCCATCATTTTCGATGTAGTCGGGTACTTCCTTGCGATGTGAGAAGTTGAAAACCACGGACGTCGAGGCCGGCACCGCCGACCGCAGCCGTCGCGGGCCCGCTCCCCCTTCAGGGCCTGCTCCCGTCCATGCACGCTCCACACCTGCCGTCTTCAGGCTCCTTTCTGGAGTTGCGTGACCGTTCATTAACGGCTTCTCACTCATTTTTGGACTCTCCAATTTTACTATCGGCTCCAGTTTCAGATCAACTTCCGGCGACGGCTCGCGAGATGCGCTCTGATCTCGTTCCATTTCGGTTTTTTCCGGAGGCGGTCTTGGGATGGGTTCGACGACGGCGGATGGTGGAGGGTCTTTTCGCTCAGTCCGGGCCGTTACCGGGCTTTCTGGCGCATCCGGAGGTGGAGTCTCGAGGCGTGGCAGCTCATCTATGACATCCGCAGTGCGCTCCGGTGGTGGAGACGCGACATCAGCACACGGTGCCGGCATAGGCTTAATGACACCAACTCTACGCGGAGAAGCAGATAGGCGCACACGATTGAGCAGAACGGGGTTCGTAGTTGCCAGTGGCGGCAGGTGTGAACCCAATTTTGGTGATTGGAACGAGTAGCGCACGGTGGAACCGGCACGTGCGATTCCATCCAACGCCGCTTGCGACACCTGTTTTGTCTCGATCGAAAGTACAGTGCCCTCGGGCTCATCGATGGCAGAGAGGTCGGCGGCGGCTGGGCTCGGGGAGCGCGCGCTTGGTTCGGGCGTTGAGGTACGTGGGGCCTCCAGACCTCGTACCACAGCGGACACACGGGCGGCGGGCGCAGACCGCCTAGGAGGTGTTGTCTCGAACTTGCGAAGGGTCGAACGAACCACATCGGGTGGGGGTCGCTCGGTATCGCGTAGAAGAGGAGCCGGCCGACGCGGCGGACGCGGGGCTCGAGGCAGCGGAGAGGGCGGCGCCTGCGGCGGAGGCTCATCGAGGCGGCTGAGAGCGTCCACGGAACGCGCGCGCTTAACGGAATCGCGGCGGAGCGGGACCGCGGTGGGAGGTGGAGCGGCGAGCGACACAGGTCGGGCGGGACGCGCAGATGGACGCGGAGCAGGTGGTGGGCGCTCATCTAAAAGGTGCTCAAGGGAAGCGGCCCTGCGTAGGACGGAGGGTCGCCGGCGAGGCGCTTCTCGCAGCGCTAAGCTGAGGTATCGCGATTTGAGACGCTTCACGATACCGGGCCCGTAACTTAGCTCTTCGTCGTCTTCGGGCGGTGGTGGAGGAGGTGGGGGCTGCGGCGGAGGAGTGGCAGGTGGCGCAGGCGGTCGAGAGCGCGCCGCGCGTCTCTGCAGCAGCTCGCGCTTCCATTGCGGCAGCGGACCATTCGACATGCCTACACACAACCTTCTATTATTTCACTTGACTATAAATAGATACTTGTCTCCTCATCTCCTATCTAAAATAAGTCTAAAGTAGAAGAAAGAAAATAGCGCCCAATACATTGCAAACAGAAAGTATGTTAAAAGTCACAGTTTAATGAAAAATATTAGCATCAGAGTGATAATATTGTTAATGACTTGTTAATGATGATATCTATTTTAGACTTTCTTAAGTTATTGTGACAAATTGTAATTATTTTGGCATCCAATTTTATGAATGCAGAGAGACAGCATAATATAACAAGAATGATTATACACCATTGTAATGATGTCTTGAATAAATTTTATTAAAAACTTTTAGTTTCAATGATATAAACCTCATAGTTAAACAAGTTAAGTCATACTAACTCAATTTTATATTTTAATATACAGGTGATTTAGATGCAGAATGAGACAATGAATAACGCGACTCATCATACAAAGTACTTCTAGTTACACTTACACTGGTAATTAATTTCTTTGTGTAAAAAACACCTTAGGCAATTAACAAAAAAAAACTATCAATCATACTGAAACCCTGAATTCTTGTTAGAAATTAGATCATATTGGTTTGTATCAAGTAAAAATTAAAAATAGTATTTTGTCAACTACTAATTACCCATAATTGGTCTTTAATTGCAAAGCAAGGGTTGAAGCTAAAACAATGTTAACTTTATTAAAAATATAATAGTTTCATTATACAAACTTAAGTTTAATTTACCTTACAAAATAATACATAATGTGTAACAGCATGTATAAAAAATATGTAAAGGAAGCTAATAAGCTATGAGTAAGAAGTAATGGACTCACCGAAGTCCTGTGAGGACTCGAGGATGGTCTCCACCATCATCTTGAGGTGGCCGCTCACGATTACAATTGCTATAGCCACAAAAAATAATGCATCAAACAACAAGCAAAACAAAATATAAAGCACTAAACATATTCCAAATACGTTAATAATTTAATTTATTTCTAAAGTACATTGAAAAAAGGAGTTTCATTAAGAAAAAGCACTTTATGAATGTTCAATATTCTCCTAATAATATAGCTAGTGATTAGGTCTATTATCAATATAGAAGATATGTTATCTCTGCAATGCATAGATAGAACTTAATATCAATATGTACCACAATATATCTTGCCAGTACTTTGGTTTACATATATAAATATTATACAAAAATAAAGCAATACGGAATCAATTATAATCTTAAGAAAAACTGATGTGATATTATTTAACCAGTTCGATTATAGACGTCGTTGACCCCGTAGCGGGCCGCATCCCACATAACTGTAATCTCTATTTGTTCACGTCTCACACCATCTCAAACAAAAACCACCTTTTCATCGACTCGTAATAGCGTCTGCTTGTTAACCATACAATGCACTCCTATTAAATAGTATGCGCCTCGCATACCTTACCTCCTAAAATATATCCATTGATTTCCAAGCGTAAAAAAGTCACGAATTCGAACACTGATACATTCAGTGTTCGATACACCACACTCACTCACAAAAACGCCATCAAAACTTAGAACACTATGGAGTTTTGTTCAGTAATCAAATAAAACAAAAAACACACAACTATTCGTTGCCGGTTTTCAGAAGTCACCCTTCTGCGCAAACGGCATACCATAGGTGACGGTCGATCACTTATTTTTAAGGTAAATTAATAATAGTTCAACTATAGTGAACTTATGAAACTTATACCATCAATTTTAATTTAATTGACAATATAACCAATACTTTAAATAAAACTAATTTTCTAAATAAAACAACTTAAATATGTAAACGACCACCATTATAGAAAATTAATTTGACACTAGTTTTATTTTTGCGTAGTGACATTTGGTATAGACGTACGACGTCAATGCCTTCTTATTCACAGAGTATACATCTGACATGTTGTCAACAGACTACAGTGCGTATTTCTCACAGACGCAATACTAATTATATTAACGTGATATACAGAAACTAAACTTAGATCGAAGTGTGACTACTGTATGTCAAAATAAAAATTGCATTTTTGACATATGGCGGTGAAATTTAACGCTGAGTCTCGTTTCTGAATCTTTTCTTAATTTAATCTCAGACAGTTATTTGTAAACAAAGAAAAAAATTTGTAAACAAACAAAGAAATTAGGAACGAATGGTTATATCGTCATTTGCATACGTCTTCCCTATTTATGCCGTCTGTTCCATCCTATCTGGCTATCCCCATTTTTCAGTAGATCTGCCCATTATCTGTCCATCTTTTTGTTTAGTGTCCCCTTCTCCTTTTGCATGACTGATCCAGTTCCATTTTATTTTTATTAGGTATTTATATTATCATGTAATGTACAATTACTATTGATTTATGGACAATATTCTCAAAGCACAATACAAAACCACCAAAAAAATTATAGTATGTCCCGTGTGTCTTTATCGCTTCTAACACTGTGACTCTTTTATTTGTAGACACGCATTTATTATAAGGCGCCTTTCCTGTGCTAGAGTAGACTGTATACCGTATTTCAATTTTAATTTGAATAGGTATCCCTAAGTCATTTTTTTCAATAGTATATATAATTGTAGTACATAACCTAAAAATTAGAATAAATGTAGACGTGCTGACCCGGCTAACTTCGTATCATCTAAGGCCCTTTCTCCACTGTTCCGGTCCGGCGTCGGATACCGGAATGAGTCATGAGAAAAATATCGGAAGGCCGGATTGCGCTTCTCCACTATATCCGATCCGACAACGATCGATACTTGTATATTTATTATGCAACACTTATATTAACTAAAACCCATATACTTTATTTTATTAATAAAACGTTCTAAATTCTGAATATTTTATTGCCTTGGCAAGCTTATTACTTTTTTTATATTGTCTATCTTAAAATATTATAATCTACTTAATAAATAGTCCACTAATATTATGGTATAAAAATATAAATAAATAGCAACATAATTTGGTTTGGTCCAGGTTATCCAGATTCTTTCAAATTAAAAAAAAACTATAAATAAACATGTGTAATATAATAATTTATAACCTCTTGGATACATGGATATACTTGGACCGATAAAACACCGCGTTCCGATCTAGCAAGTTATCGGATCGTTAAGGCCGTTTCTCCACTGCTCCGGTCCGCCAAACGTTAATTACCGATCCGATTTAGAAACTCACAACAGTACTTACGTGCTTCTCCACTACTCCGGCATCCGGTTTTTAACGATCCGATAACTTGCTAGATCGGAACGCGGTGTTTTATCGGTCCAAGTATCCAAGTTTTAAATTATTATTCACAGGTTTATTTATAGTTTCTTTAATTTGAAAGAATCTGGATAACCTGGACCAAATCAAATTATGTTGCTATTTATTTATATTTTTATACCATAGTATTAGTGAATTATTTATTAAGTAGATTATAATATTTTAAGATAGACAATATAAAAAAGTAATAAACTTGCCAGGGCAATTAAATACATATTCAGAATTTAGAACGTTTTATTAATAAAATAAAGTACACTTGGCGTCAAAAAAATCGCACCTTTCTTAAAATTCGTGTCAAGCGATTATAACTTCTAAGATCCTTCCTGTACCCTATCATAACCATAATCAATATATGTATATATCAATCCTTTTTCATTTCTGATATTATCTAAAAATCTAAAATACGCCACTATCCGAATATTGTCGATGTATAAGTAAATAATACGTTATTTAATTTTAGTTTACGACATCAACGGGATGAACATTAAATGTTTGCCATGAAAATAGGTCCAGTCGTCTCAAGTTATAAGTGTTCAAAAAAAGCTTTTTTAAATATATTAAGATATATTTCTACAAGAATGAGCTAAATACAGAATTATTGGTTATAAAAAAAAACTATTTGACATATTTTATATATACTTCTATATTTGTCTCTCAATCTTAAAGCTCCTAAATTAAAACCCAATTGGACACAATTTCGCTGCGATTGACACAGAGCGTCTATATACAGAAACGGCCAGAATTGACTTGAGCGCAGTTTACGAGTGTCCTTCCCTCAATGGTAAAGTTGAATTACTAATTGCTTCCATCACTATTTTTTTTATTTATATCACACGCTCTATAGAGGCCCGTTAAGCGGAAGCATTTACCTGCTCCTTAGCTTAACGATGAAATCAAAACTTCGATTAAACAAAAAGGCGCGAAAGCCCTGACGAAAACAGTCAGAACAGACTAAAAATTTTACAAAAAACTTACGCAACGAGAGACATTCACGACTCAATTTCAAATAGGGATCCCTCAAAATCCCTCGTAATGTGTGGTCTGTAAGCTACCGACCGAGGAATGGATTAATACTGTCTAAACGCCTATTTTACTTCTTGTTTTACTTCAAATAATATGAATCTGGACTTTACAATTGAGTATTTGTCACATCATCCTCGTCCCACTTTCCTATCTTTCATTTTCAGTGAATTTTATTAGCCAGAACCTTGAGAAGAGTATTTCTTTTAATGCTGTTCTTCAGTCTGTGTTTTGTCCTGTCCATAGCACGAATACTGCGCTAGTCAGGGATCCTTATGACATTCGCAGAGGCATGGAGAACAAAAAACTTACAATTCTCACACTGCTAGATTTCAGCAACGCTTTTAATATAATGAGCTTCGAAATTCTATTGGCGTTGTTTAGCTCTATTAATATTTCTTCAGATGTTGTTAGGTTTTCTAACTTTATTTATGTGCGCCGCATGTTCATTAAGGGCAGCCATTGCATGTCTCAGTTGAGTTTAAGTGAAACAGGGGGTCATGCAGGGCGGCGTACTTTCTCCTCTTCTCTTTGTGATTTATATTTACTCCTTAATTTTCATTAAAAGCCGATGATCTTCACATCTACAATCACAATCTTTCTCTTCTGATCTTAATGAGGAATTGCGTAATAAAATCGTCGTGGATCGTCTGCAAAATTTCTGTATCCGTTTCCTATTCGGTCTAAGAACGTACCACCACTCTGCGTTCCGTAAGCGGTTAGGTTGATTACCCATTCGTCAGTGGCGTGATGCTCACGTTCTCCATCTCTTATATCCGAAAAACTCCTTCTTACATCAAGAACGATTTTAATTCATGGGGGTTCATAGCTATAGCCTACACTCTTCCGAAAACTATATCCTTAGAATTCCATTACTTAAGTCATCCTTAATTGCCGAATCCTTTCAGGTATGAAGTCAGGGTATAGAATTCACTTTCTGTCCTAATCAGCTTAGCTCCTTCTGTATCTTCCTTTAAATCTCTACTGAACAACCATTACCTGTTTACATCTTATAGTAAAGTTAGGGAACTCCGTACTGATTGATCTAACTGAAATTATCGTGATTCATGTGTCCTTTTCATTGTCCATATATTTTCATAGTAACTGTATATTTTTCATGAAGTTTTGTACTTCTAGCAATCACCTTATTTAATTTTAATAATCCTCACAGTGGTTACCTGGAACTAAGAGAACGCTCAAAACCGCCGCGGCCGCCAGTTGCGCTCCTGTCTATTTCACTATTTGTATTGTACTGTATTTCATGTAAATAAGTGTAAATAACTAAACATACATTTCCATAGGGAGCGAAGATAAAATCAACAATATCTATTTAAAATTACTTTATTTAATGTTCATTAAGTTCAGATGAAGAATGTGCGGTAATAATATAAAAGGCGCTGTGAATAAAAGCAGTAACCTCGGGATATATTCGTCGAGTTCATATTTTCTCGTTACAAGTTAATTTGGTCTTTAGTGTTGTATAGGAAGCGGAGGTTGAAGGCCCTCGCTTTGTTATTATAATGCAACGAAGCGAATTAATGAAACAAGTGTACGAAATAGGCCTAATAATGTTCGTTGTTACGAATAAACAAAGTAATATTGGATCATTTCTTTACCTGCTATTAAACAATCTAACCTATCCATCATCATAACCTATCGGTTATGCTGGAAATTTAGGTGTGAAATCTATGTCCAGCAGTGGACGTCGATAGGCTGAACCCAAAGGGCTATATCAACTATCTAATAAACTTTGAAACATAAATCCAGCTATTTTCAAATTGAGATAAATGGTTGAGCGAAAACTGTACTCCTATTTGTATGGATTTTTTGCTACGGCAACTAAAAAATATATTTGCGGATATATTTTTAAAAAGTCTGACTGTCAATAAGTGGAGGGTTCATATATTTTCGAAAAAAATATCAAAGACACGCTAATGACAATTTGCGATACACAAAATATAGGCGTTGAAATTTATATTTTGATATCGGTTTGTACATTATTGATATGAAACAAGAATGAATATAATTTTGTTCTCGGGCACTTTATAAAGTTGAATAAATCAGACGAATGTGATAAGAAGAGGCGCAAAAGCTGATCTCAGATTTCTTTTTCGCGTGAAAATAATCTCACTGTCAAGGATAATTTATTGTATGGAAGCGGGTCTGAACCATCTTGCGACTAACGATCCGTAAATATCCATTTAGAACACCGCGACCTTTTTGATCACACAAAAAAAAAGTATTTCAGTCCGAATTCTACTATGTTCGTCAATAAAATGTTAAAGACAAAAAATATGAAAATAAAATAAAACAGTAATCGCTCTACCTTTTGGGCCGGAGAATTTTGAATCTATTAGATTGATGATCATCAAATCATGATCATCAATAGGCAAGTAGGCGATCAGCCTCCTGTACCTGACACACGCCATCGACTTTTTGGTTCTAAGGCAAGCCGGTTTCCTCACGATGTTTACCTTCACCGTTTCAGCGAGTGTTAAATGCGCTCATAGACAGAAAGTCAATTAGTGCACAACTGGGGATCGAGCCTACGACCTCACGGATTCGAGTCGCGCGCTGAAGCCACTAGTCCAGCACTGCTCAAAAATATATGAACAATTTTCAAACCTATATAGATTAAACCTGCAGTAAAAGAAGAGGGCAAGCAACAAGGAAGATAAATGTCAAATATATGTTATTTATATAAATCACGCCTATTGTAGAAACTTCTTCAAGTACATATGTCCTAAATTTGGTCCAGAAAGATGAAGCCAGGAAATCTCACTATTTACATGTACAATCGGTTGTGGGCTAGAGGAGGCAATCCCGCCAAAAGGCAATATCTAATCGAATTGGCCGTCTCTGCATATTAATTTTCTTCTTTTATGTAAATTTTGTAATTTATTGTTTCTTCGTTCTAATCGTTCCTTCAAAGTAGGGTATGGAATATAATAAAATAAAAATAACACATTTAATTATTTTTATTAGACATGTCGAACATGTAGGTCATTGATTTTGATATTAAATTATGTCTTAGGCAACCTAGTATTATACAGCTATTTACTAATTATGATTCTCTTAAAGAGAACAACTAATCGTACATCACGGAACAATAAGCTTAAACTGCAAGTTATAGAATTACATGAGGCTTTAATGGGTTGTAATAGTAACATATATGTCAAATATTAATATGAAAGAAATATTCTGTAATTAATTATCTCTTTTTCGTGTTTAAATACCGAATTCCGTACACAGTGACACAATTGTTATTGTTTATGAATTTAAAATGTCAGGAAATACTTACAAATTTCAAGTCGGTGTCCGCAAAATCTAATTTGGGTACAGATAATTTTTTTTCTGTCATATCTGTTGACCTTAGACGGTCCCTCAGAGAGCATGACATTTATTATTATAATATTATTATACATTATAATACTTATGGAATACTGTCTTTTTCCACCCTTCTCCTCCGAGCGTAACCCTAAATAATATAAAATAACTATTCAGAGTCTATAAACATATTCGTTTCCTTTCAGTTCATAAAATATATTTGTTTCTATTTATACACAGCCCGCTATTGGAACCGGCGAGTCCGCGAGCATGTGTTGCGTCAGAAGTGTAGTCGAGAAGCACCGTTGGTGCGAGACGTGTGCTCTAGCGAGGCCAGCGATACTTCCGTGCAAGGAGTGGCAGGTGGTGCGGGGTAGTAGACGGTGGGCGCGGGTGATCGGCGCCGCCCTGCCGCGCCTCGTGACCGGCGAAGCGTGCCGTTCCGCAGCAGCCGCAGCGACACGCGCTCACCCGCACCTGATGCGAACGAGTCGTCGCGCGTGTGTTCCGGTGAATCTCGTCGAGTTCGTCCAGCGCAGAATAGCTTCAGGAAAATCCGTTTGAACTTTTCGCCGAAGATGACGTATATTACGAAGTTCACGCTGCTGTTGATTGTGACCAGCAGGTTGCTCGTCTTCACTAGTGGGTCGAGATTGTCGAACGCATCCCCGAGGAAGACCTCGAAGGCGTTGGTGACTAGCGGCAATAGGTTGCATAAGAAGAACACCAGCACGACTACTAGCAGCATGGTGGCCAGTCCGAGCTCGCGGCGCTGCACGCGCGAGAGTCTGGCACGTTCGGCCTGTGCTCGTCGCACTTGGCGCACGATGCGAGCGTTCAACGCTGCCAGTAGCGAGAACGGTACGATGTACATTACTACTAAGTACATCCAATGGATATAGACGGCCACATAGGTTTCGTTGCGGAACCGCATATCGGCCTGTACACAGTAGATCACTTCGCCGGTCTCGATGTCGCGCTCTTCCACCACCTCGGCTTCGAGAAACTTGGGCGCGTTGTAGATAAATGCGAATACTGCCGTTCCGAGTACATACCAGCGCGCTCGCGACGAGGTGCACAGTGCCTTGGCACGGAAAGGATGGCATACAGCTACCCATCGTTCTACGGTCACGATCAACGTGAGATAGACAGACATGGTCTGCGCAACATTGGCCAGTGGGTAGGCATAGGGCGTTAGACGCGGACATACGTGGTAGTAATAGTAGCGCAGCGCACCAGTGTATGGATATACAGCAGTGAGGCCGAACAGGAGCACTGAGGTCAGGATAAGAAGTGTGTCGCACGCAGCTAGCCCCACCAGAAGACAGTTTATGGAGGAGCGCATCTGTGGGCGCGACAGCACTAGTACTGCAAGAGCGTTGCCGAGTAGGCCGGCCGCCCCAATGGCGTTGAGCATCACACCGTGCACAACGAACCGGATCAACTTGTCCCGCGCTGACACGCCCACGTCCGTACTGCACTCCAGCGCAGCCGCCGCCGCCGTCGAGTTCATGGCGCGCCCGCATGCCGCGCCCTAGTCATCGTACGCCATCTGTAAATGTTAAAATATTTTTATGTATAGAAAGAAAACTCGGTAATAAGGAAAAGTATGCTTCATAGAAAACTTTAAATAACTTGGAAGATGAATAGAATGTTTTAAATCAAGTGGATTTTCTTTTAACGAGAAACACATCATTCCTTTTTTACGTTCGGGCCAGTGAGGACCAACGTTCGGTTGTAATGTTCTTCTAAAGACATCTCTATTTGCAGTAAACGACGCTTTGAGTACATGCGAGGCTGATCCATTTTATGACAGTCTCCATGGCTTCAGGCGTAAGATGCTGCAGCCATTGTTATTCCGTCACCGATAATAACAATTGCAATGTAGAAATATGTATGATTTTTATGCTTGTTTGTATTTATTAATCTAGTTTATTGTCGCTTAGTTTTATTGCATAATTTATTTTCTATTTTATCATTGTAATGTTTCCCTTTAAATTATGTGCACACTTGTGATTGATTGTGTTTTTGTGTGTTGTGTGTTCTCCGTAAGCGTTTGTATGTGTTTCATTAAAGTGCCTTTAAAAATTAAAAATAATAATAATAATAGTATAAATAAATTATTGAGAAAAAGAGTTGGAAGATGATGTTTCAGTTATCTGTGTAGTCGACATGATCAGCCGCCTACGTCATGATTAAACATCTCGAATCGAAATTGACACAGCGATGTCATTAATAGGAAATGTTTTATACAACAATGCTTACTAGAGAACTTTGTGGAAATGTGGAAGTATTTGTTACTTATTCTCACATGGGACGCAGTGGATTCAAGTGCAACGAGGCACGCATTTTTTCGTAAATTGGATGATGGAAGTGGTGGCGGCCAAGAAAAGGGTGGGCGGCGCGTATATGGGGGCTCGGTGGCAGCTCTAGCAGAATTCCCAGCGGCGTGCGCGCTCCTAGACCGCTACTGGGGGCCGCGCTGCTCTGCAACTGTGCTTGCACCGCATTGGGCGCTCACCGCCGCGCACTGTGTGACTCGCCGCCTCGCATATGTCAAGTACAATACGCGCCGCCCCAACTCGCCAGAGGGAGACGTCACGCCCGTTCAATATCTCTACAGGCATCCCAAGCAAGTTACCGATGAGATTATAAATTTTGTGTCATATCTAGTTTTAAACACCTTCCAAACTATAGGACGTTTCCTTTTAAAAATATATAATGTATATGCAGGTATGAAGTGCGTCAGACCGATGAGGGTCAAGGGCTGGACGTCACGGTGCTGCATAATGACGTTGGTTTGGTGCGTACGCGAAATGAGATGCGGTTGAGTGCAGCTCTAGCTATGGATGTGCTCAGTGGTATGAGTCTGTATTCTCCGAGTGAGTTGTACAATAAAGAGGTAACAGTGCTGGGATTCGGGCGATCGGAGCGGTCAGCACTAGGCGAGGAGCTCTTCTCCGTACAACTAACAGCGGCATCATGCGAGCGAATAGGCTGGGAACCCTGCATTTGCGGGCTAGCACCGAGAGCCGCCCGTGCTGTATGTTCCGGAGATTCGGGCGGGCCTGTTCTGTATGAAGGCGTGCAGGTCGGAGTAACCTCTATGGGACCAGTGGAGTGTTCGACGGCGCGGCCACCACCAGCTGGCGCAACTAGTGTCTTTACATGGTTACAGCCGTCGGCGGCACTACTAAACGCCACGTTGACCGGTGCGGACGCTGCGTTACGAATGAGTATCATCTCAAGAGCACCCCGTTCCCGATCTACGTTCATCCCACACATGCTCCTACTAATATTTATTGTCTTTGGTATTGTGTAAGGGACTAAAACACATTCTTTGGCTTTAAAATTGTTTTTGTATTCAGCAATATTATGATAATTATATTAACAAATACTAAGTAACTTGGAAAATAGTTATGTATTTCTATTGTATTTAATATTTATATACCGCTTAATATTTAAAGGTAAAGGTTTATTATTATGGTATCGTTTCACTACGTATATATTATATGTTGTGAATATTTTTGATTGATGCTTAATCAAAATAAATAAATCAGACACATCGTGTCCTCATAACATAATTAATTAAATATAGTTAAAAGTAGAAATATATCATAAATAGAAATAATAAGGCAATATTAGTGAATTGTCCATCTCTGGAAGTGATAGGTGCTTTGTGGAGTACGGATTATACACAAATAATTCGACTTTTCAAAAGTGATTTTGTGTTGGTGACTATAAATTGTGAACTATAAAAAAAACTATGTGCAAGTGAATTGAGATCCCAGATTGACAGTTTTCATGTGTAATACGTGTTTATTTTGGATCAACGACCGTTATTGTGAGTTGCTTAAAATATATAAAGTATAAAGAAACGTACATTACTGTGAAGAGCATTTATTGCAGTGCAATTTTTACTGAGACATTTATAAAGAGAGCATTTATTGTTGTGCAATTACGGAAATATATTTAATAAAAATGAATGTTTGCGAAGGTTGCAAGAAGTCGCTTTTAGCAATCGAAAGCATGCGCTGTTGTTTGTGCGTTCATCTATTTCACTATTCTTGTGTAAATATTAATACAAGCAACTTCAAGAAACTTTCTAAGGACGCTAAAACTTCCTGGAAATGCCCAGCTTGTAAAGTTGCTACAAAAAAATAGCTGATAACGAGACGCCCACTGCGGGCCCAAGCAGACCGGTTATGATGAAGAACGTCGCAACTCACCGGTGGCGCAGGATGAGAGAGTATTTATTGATAAAAAGCGAGCTTCGAGCAATCCTTATTGCAGAAATGCCTACAATTTTGCGCGAAATTGTGTCGTCTGAAATATCACCGCTAAAGGAAGAAATGGCGTCTCTCAAGGAAGCTGTGCAATTCGCAACAACAAGATATGAGGAATTGAAATCTTTGGTTGAAAAGCGTGACTCAGAGGTAAAAAAATTGTTAGGGATGAATTCTTCACTCGAGGGAAAAGTGAGTGACTTGTTAGTTAGGCTGTCTAACCTGGAACAACACTCAAGGGAGGCAAACGTTGAGATTCACGGCCTACCTGAATTCAAAAATGAAAATCTGGTCAAAACGGTTGAAAGAATTAGTGAAGTAGTCTCCGGTAACATTGATGACAGCGATATATTGTCATGCTTTAGAGTGGCAAAGAAAAACCCAAATAATGGACGGCCAAGGTCAGTGGTGGTTAAACTACGTAGTAGTCGTTGCCGTGACACTTTATTGGCAGCCACCTTCAGTTTCAACAAAAATAATCCAAATGGAAAATTAAATACCAGTCTGATTGGGATTGGAGGGAATTCTGCTCCTGTATATGTCTCTGAACATCTGAGTCCTGAGAGGAAAAGTCTTCAGGCTGCTACCAGATTAAAGTGCAGAGAATTGGGCATCAAATTCACATGGGTCAGAAACGGAAACATCTATATCCGTAAGGGTGAGGGTGAACCAGCCAAACGTATCATCTCGGTGGAACACCTAAACAACCTTCGGTTATGATAAATCGTCAATCATACCAGTCACATCGGTCTCTAAGGTTTCCTCTCTTAATATCTACTATCAAAATGTGCGTGGCTTGAGAACAAAAACAAACGATCTTTATGCCAGCTGCCTAAATGAGGACTATGACGCTATTGTGTTTACGGAGACCTGGTTGCTGCCTGAAATTGGTAACGGAGAACTATTTGACTCCAGATACACTGTATATCGCAAAGATCGAAATTCTACTACTAAGTTAAGAGGCGGCGGAGTCCTCATAGCAATTAAAAAAAGTATTGCTAGTAAACGTTTGATGCAGCTAGAATCTGACCATGAAGACTTATGGATATCCATGACCTTGCAGAAGAGTGGTCGACGACAGAATTTAGGTCTATGTGTGGTGTACCTTCCGTCTCCGGTAGACAAGAGGGTGGCGCAGTGCTTTTTGATAGGGCGAGTGATGCCATTGCCTCACTCGATGATGTTCTGATTTTGGGAGACCTAAATCTCAGTTGCTTATCTTGGTGTCCCGGTGACATCCCTAATACCCTGGCCCCCGTCAACGATAGCAATAGTTCACTTGGTGTTACTTTAATGGATTTTATGTCTCTAGCCTGTCTTAATCAATACAATTATGTTCTTAATAGTGATAAGAGAATATTGGATCTAGTTCTTTCAAATGTTGCTTTGACTCTTCGGGAAGCAGATAGTCACCTAATTAAAAAAGATATTCTGCACCCTCCACTTGTAATATGTTTGGCTATGCATACTTCTTGTAAGTCTGTTAAAAATAAGGCAGCTACTAAATTAAACTTTTTTAAGGCAGATTATTCTGCAATTAATAGTCACATGCATAACATTGATTGGATAGAAGCGCTAAATGTAAGTGGTAACATAGATGACATGGTTGCAGCATTTTATAACAAAATTAATGGGATCATTACAGCTCATGTGCCTCGAACCAAAATTTTAAAATCTAAATATCCGCCGTGGTTTGATAAAGCTACCATTAGACTGCTTAAAGAGAAAAATAAGCTTCGAAAAAAAAATTAGAAAATTTGGTAACCCACGTGATGAGTATGAATTTAAATTGCTTCGTACTCGTTGTGATAAACTAATCAACAATAAATACAAAGCATATATTAGTAATGTTGAGAACAATATATCTAAAAATGTAAAACATTTTTGGAACTTCATTAAACACAAAAGGAAAGACTCATATACAATACCACAAGAAATGTATCGAGGTGGTGGAAAGCCACACAAATTAGCGAAATAGCTAATTTATTTTGCGGAGCACTTTAAATCAGTTTTCAGTAGCAATGATATTAGTATAATAAGTGAATCTCAATATCCCACTATGTGTAATGTCTTACCGTTGTGCAATGTTAGATTTACTGAAAAAGAAATTGAAAACAAAATTAAGACTTTAGATATTTGTAAAGGGTGTGGTCCAGATGGCATTCCCCCAGTTTTTATTAAAAGTTGTTTTTCTTCTTTAACGATACCATTAAACTTAATCAATAAATCACTAGAACTAGGTACGTTTCCGTCAATGTGGAAGAAAGCTAGAATCATACCGATATTTAAAAAGGGTGAGACAAATATTGTTACGAACTACAGACCTATTTCTATTTTAAATACATTTTCTAAGATTTTTGAATCGCTTCTATGCCCAATACTCAAATCACACTGTAAAGTTTTTGTAGATACTGCTCAGCATGGTTTCTGTGCCAAAAGATCTACTGATACTAATCTCTTTGAGTATGTAAATTTTTTGGCAAATGCAATTGATGAGAGAAAACAAATTGACTGTATTTACACAGATTTTTCTAGTGCCTTCGACAAAGTTAGTCATAGTGTTTTATTGAAAAAGTTGGATTACTTATATGGTATTGGGGGGGGTTATTAAAATGGTTTGCGTCATATTTGACAGATAGAACTCAGTTTGTGGCAGTTGGTGGTATAGAATCGCAATCGTACATTTCCACATCAGGTGTTCCACAAGGTTCTCATCTTGGTCCTTTCCTATTTACTCTTTTTGTAAATGATATTGGTTCGTTTGTTAAATATAGTAATTTTTCTTTGTATGCAGATGATATGAAAATTTTTAAAGTAATTAATAGCGCTCAAGATGTGGAGTTATTGCAAAGTGACGTAGTGGGTATACAGAGGTGGTGCGATCATAACAAAATGGTTCTAAATGCCAAAAAATGTTCGCAAATTACTTTCTCTAAAAAGAAACTACCAGTCCCCTCTAAATACACTATCGACGGAGTACTACTACTGCAGGTCAATGAAATTAGGGATTTAGGAGTAATACTAGATAGTAATTTATCGTTCATACCACATTACAATGCAATAGTCAATAAAGCTTCTAGAATGTTAGGTTTCATAAGGCGGTCGACTAAGTGTTTTAAGAATGTGAAGCCTAAAATCATACTTTACAATTCTCTGGTCCGTAGCATTTTGGAATATGGTAGTGTTGTTTGGAACCCTCAATATTCTGTCCATGTTGACAGAATCGAACGAATTAACCGCCATTTCTCCAAACATCTATGCCGATTAAATAATAACATTAGCTATAAATGCGAGTATGAAAAAGACTAGCTTTCTTTCACTTACAATCACTCCGCGATAGACGCCGCCTTATCGACATTATATTTGTTTTCAAAATTTTAAATAACTTAGTAGATTTACCTAATGTTTTAAGTCAAGTTAACTTCCTCTTAAAGAGGAACACAAGAAAAACTTCAATCCTTTTTACGTTCGGGCAGTGAGGACCAACGTCGGTTGTAATGCTCCTCTACACAGATCTCTATCGACATTAAACGACGCTCTGAGTACATGCCAAGCAGATCCATTTAGTGACAGTCTCCATGTCTTCAGGCGTAAGATACTGCAGCCAATGTTGATCCGTGACCAATAGTGATAATTGCAAAGTTGAAAATTATTGTTTTTTATTTATATGTGTTTGTATTTTTTTTAATCTAGTTTTTGAAGTTATACTTCTTTAGGCGCGTTATGAAAATTTGATGAGAGTGAAATTTTTACGATGCGCGCGCACCTATGACACAAAATTCGGAGTGTGATTATAGCGTGCGCAATCTACAAAAGAAATAGAATATAAGCTAACTTCACGCATATTCTATTTCTTAGCTTAGCAGCTTAACAAGAATTTTGAATATCCATGACAATTGACATCTGACAATGACATTTACCTTTTAAACAAATATAGGAGTTTGAATTATTGTTTAAAATAAAAGATTCTAAAAGTACCTAGTTATTTTCATTATACAAGTGCGAATTTTATATGTGCGTCTGAATTATAATCAGA